GGGGTAGGGGAGGTTTAAACCTTAAACTGTCACTGCTTTAAAATTAAGTAAAATTAATGTGGAGTTTATGTACTATGCTTAGTTGGCATGAATAATTAAATTCGTTATCTTTTTGTTACAAAGTTATTCAAGCTGTTTTTTTGGCAGGAGAAAGTTAATCCAAATCCTTTAATAACAAATCAAATCTGATTTTGGTTCTATAGTTCAAACTAAAAAACAAAAAATTCCAATGTAGAGGCTTTTAAGACATTACATTGGTATGGGCCCAAGGAACCCTGAGCCCAACTCAATAATCTTAACCTGAATAACCCGATTTTCATGACCAGGTTGGGATTGATTCAATGCAATGATCTTAACCTGAATAATCTGAATTGCCCATCCGCCAAACCCATAAATCCCCCAGCTAGGTGCAGCAGGATTTGATCCCAAATCTCTGATACGACCACCAGGAGACCGGTTGGTAAGGCCATAATTGTATAAGGAGAAACAAATGCGACCAATAAATCCAGTTGGCATGCAATCAGTTGAAGCTCGGTTTCACCTCGAACCGGTTCGCATGATCAACATACATCAAGGATTAAACATTATTCTCTTTTTGCTGTTTTTCTTTTTTTTTGTATTTTTATCCATTTTCATCTTTAATAATTATTTTGCATTTGATATATTTATTTTTATTTAATTTAATGAATATATAATATTAAAGATATATGTAATTTTTTATATTTTTAATATTTAATTTATGGCATCATCAAATTGACACATTTCACCTAGGTGGTTGAACAGTTGCATGAAAAAATGGTTTCATTTTCATTTCAATTTTAAAACATGGATATATACGTAAGGCTGTGTTGTAGTTGCTATGGATCTCAACCCTAGCCCAATTCATCCAAAATCTAACTTGGTCGATTGGGTTTCGTGGGGTTGGGAATTTAGGATCTTCTGTCGTCCCACTTCTGTCCATCTCGATGTCCTCTTAGGAGTAGTGWTTTTGAATCGTCGTTGATTCGGATGGTCAGACTTTTCAGTCCAGAAATTATCTAGGCAACTGGTTCTATTTTACCCTTAACCCGTTCTTAGGCCAAAAAACATTGACTTGGTCAGAAAACCACTGACCCAGGCAATCGAAGCATCGGCCAGTTCAACCCTGACAGTGGTTTGCATGAGATTAAAGAGGAACTGAGACAAGACTAATCACATAGTAGAGACAACAGAGAGAAAGAGAGAAAAAGAAAAGAAGAAGATATGAGATCTCAGATCTGAGATCTATGATTGTTGCCGCTACATCTGTTGTCTCTGTTGTCATCACCGGTTGGTGAAGTCAGATCCTCCTCCTCCTCTTCCTTCTTGTTCCCTCCTTCCCTCCTTAATTCCTTTATTTCTTTTCCCTCCTTCCTTTATTCCTTTCTTTCTTTCTTTTCTTCTTTCTTTCTTTCTTTCTCAGCCAACAACTACATATCTTTTCTCATATTGATAACAGTCTAAAAGTTGCCCTGATAATCTAAACCACCTGAATCATTCAACCTGGACGGTTGTTACARCGGTTCCGTTTCTGGGTTGGTTTTTAAAACCTTGCTTAGGAACGATATCGACTGTATTACAATTGTCCAATGCCAACATGCAAACAAAAGATGGATGGTTAATAATCTCTATTTCTGTTTTAATATTTTTCGTTTATCTCACATCACCAATTGAGATAGCAGCCATGCCATTTGCTCTACTTTTTGTTCATTTATTTTAGAGGAGATGAAAGATAGCGGTGCAGGTCAGGCAGGTTGGGCCGGGTTTATGGTCAATCCAGACTTGACCTTAAAACAGAATATATATATATATATATATATGCAAGATTTGATGCATTTGGGTTAGGCTTAGGCCCGGGCTGGGATCGAGTTTGGGCTACCTAAGGGCTAGGCTTGGGTCCGGCCCAAAAAATAAAAAAGCCCAACTTCTTGGGCCTGAGCCCAGTCCAAAGACTGAAAATCCAAACCCTGCCTGTATAAAATTTTGGGTTGAGACGGTTTGGGCTCGGGCTAAGCCCACCCAAGTTGCACCCTTAATGAAAGAGTAATTCAAGCATCCTCAAATACAGATCTCCTCTCCACAAAAACTCTACATGCACCCTGAAAACATTGGCATCCACCCTGATATTGGGAACATCTCTCCATGAATTTAACACACATGTATAGATGATATTCCTAACATGTGGATGAATGCCAATATTTTAAGGTGTATGCAGAGTTTTGTGGGGGACGGAATCCAGGCCCGTTTCCTTGAATTAAATCCTTTTTCCACTTTTTTGTTTTATTTTCTAAAAATAAAAAATGATAAGAGAGCAATTGATGGTGGCTCAATTGGTAGGTTCTTAGACTATTTGAAAAGGAGACCTAGCATTAAGTCCTATTGCCAACAGGGTTGGGGGTAAAGGCGTAAAGCTACCCCCATTTCAAGGGTCTCATCGTTCAATTCTTTTGTGATTGGTTCGGTCTTCAGTTTTTCAGTTTTCATTTTTATATTTATAATAAATAAATATAAGATCAATCTAGATATTTTATTCTCATTCTATTTTCTTCTCAATCGACAATAGAACCACTACACAAGATTGGCCTCCACCTTTTTTTTTATATTTTCTATGTTTTCTTCAAAACAAATCTACCTCTAGTTTTGAGAGAATGAAAAAAAAAAAAATGAAAAATGAAGAAAAACACACAACAGATTTCCGGGAAAAAAGAAGGGTGAAAAGCAAGAAAATAAACTTACAATGGCATCGGTGAAAGTTGAGTTGCAACATGTTGTGGTAGAGACCAATTTCCATACCTTCACCAACATAAGTCATGCTTAGCAAATCAATCTAGGAGGAGACCTTTATACAGCACTGAACTTGTGGTGACCATCAATTCGAGTTTTTTTTTTTTTTTCTGTTTTTCGGTATTCGGTGCTGTGAACCTCCCCCTGACCCCTTTTCTTCCTAAAGTAGTGGTTGCGGGATTCGATTTCGCATTACTGCTAGAATAAACCAGCTATATAAGACACCAACGAGCCACTTCTCGATTGGTTCAATTCAAATGYAGACCATTGCAACATTGGTGGAGTTGGAAAGGTTTGTGAATGATGAAGGAGATGCAAAATGGTTTACCTAGAAATAGATGTAAAAAAAATTCATTTTATATTTTTGAATGTTTATGTATAACTGCTTAAGTATGATGGTATACATAGTAGATAGTCATCAATGCTATGCCTTCTTTTGAAAAAAAAAAGGAGTCATCAAGCGATAGATGCAAAGGACAGGAATCAAGGGAAGGTTTAAAACTAAATAGACTTATTAATTGCTAGTTCTTTCTAGGTTAACCGAGAACCGAACTAGTTGATTTGGTTAATCAGATTTTTTGGTTTGGTTTACTCAATTCAACTTTTTAAGTTTTTGATGAGCACCAGTATCCATTGTGTATCCCTAAGAAGTAAAAAAATATGGATAAAAAAATGGAAGCTGGCCATTTAATAAGGCTCCCACATGTCAACCAAAGTGCCATGTGAAATATGACATGGCATATTGATTGAGAGTCCATCTCAACATACATGAGAGATTGAGAGGTATCACCACTCGACCATGGTTTTTAAAATCGACCCAGTGACCGAACCAGTCAAGGGTCCAGTTACTGGTTTGAACAGTCGGTCYGTTCTAATAAAAAAATAAAAAAATATTAATAAAATTGAAAAACAGTCAAAATCGTTCGAACAGCTAACCGTCTGGTTCAGCGGTTTTAGGGAAAAATAGAATCGATTAGGTGACCGGTTTCCGGTTTTTCCGGTCCGGTCCGGTTTTGAAAACCATGCCCCAACATAGAGACAAGAGCATCTAAGGCTGATAATGATCAAATTGAGGGGATGTTTGGAAGCGTGACCGTTTTTCTAAAAAACGATGCCACGTTGGATCCATGTAGGTGATTTCACAAATGCCCACATACATGATTGTTTGGTTCAAGTGCTTTTTTGAAAAAAACGCTGAAAAATGGGCATACCTCTTAAATCAGGACCCAACCGTTGCATGCAACGTCAAATTTGGCGTTTTCATGCTTCGGTGAACCATTGCCCCCAACGGTTGACTGATTGGCGATTACGTGTATCCTATGTGACGCTTACCTATCAGTACATACATGAAAAATGATGATGAAAATCACCTTACCAAACAGCACAGTGTTGCTCACTGCCTACGTGGCAGAAACACTCCCAAACATATCAAGGCATTTTTTTTTGTGAAAAATGGGTCTAACAAGCATGGGTGTTTTTTTTTTTTTTTGAAAATCAGTCCAAAAAAACGCCCACGCTTCCAAACACCATATGAATTATGGGGTCTATCTAATTTGATTTATTTATCTTAACAAATATCTGATTCGAATCGGATTAGGCTTAAGAGACAATATTGACTATAGGGTAGTGGCTAGAAGGGGAGGAGAGAGAGAGAGAGAACTTGTAATTTGCATCCCTTGAGTCTAGATCTGCTCCTTACATGAGTATTGATGAAGGAAGATTTGGCCCAACCTCGCAAATCACGGCACGTGGCAAAAAAGGCAAGTAGCTCGGCACTCAAGACAGCATACCAAGGGTACAAACACCAAAGGGACCAGCAGGCCCGAACTCCCTACTTAGAGCTCGAACTCCCTAGCAAGAGGCCCGAGCTCCCTACTTAGAGCTCGAACTCCCTAGCAAGAGGCCCGAGCTCCCTACTTAGAGTCCGAACTCCCTAGCAAGAGGCCCGAGCTCCCTACTTAATG